ATATTCAAGATAATAACCAAAAACGGCAAAATTTCCTTAAAATTACCAATTCAGGGGCAGCAACCCAACAACGGGTTGCCTGATTGGTCTGAAAATTTCAGAGCAGATAGATCTTGACCTAATGAACAATTTTATCCTCATCAGATTTGCTCTAAATGCTTTGGTTTCAGAGATATGAGCCAAAAACTGCATTTTACCCTATGTACTATTTTTTAGCCATGTCGGCCATCTTGGTTTCGCGGGCGGGGTCATCGGACACATTTTTTAAACTAGATACTCTAATGATGATTGTGGACAAGTTTGGTTAAATTTGTCTAAGTAGTTTCAGAGGAGAAGATTTTTGTAAAAGATTACAAAAATTTACGAAAAATGGTTAAAAATTGACTATAAAGGGCAATAACTCCTTAAGGGGTCAACTGACCATTTTGGTCATGTTGACTTATTTGTAGATCTTACTTTGCTGAACATTATTGCTGTTTACAGTTTATCTCTATCTATAATAATATTCAAGATAATAACCAAAAACGGCAAAATTTCCTTAAAATTACCAATTCAGGGGCAGCAACCCAAGAACGGGTTGTCCGATTCATCTGAAAATTTCAGGGCAGATAGATCTTGACCTGATAAACAATTTTACCCCATGTCAGATTTGCTCTAAATGCTTTGGTTTCAGAGATATATGCCAAAATCTACATTTTACCCCTATGTTCTATTTTTAGCCATGGCTGCCATCTTGGTTGGTTGGCCAGGTCACCGGACACATTTTTTAAACTAGATACCCCAATGATGATTGTGGCCAAGTTTGGTCAAATTTGGCCCAGTAGTTTCAGAGGAGAAGATTTTTGTAAAAGTTTATGGACGACGGACGACGGACGCAAAGTGATGAGAAAAGCTCACTTGACCTTTCAGGTCAGGTGAGCTAAAAATACATTGGGTATCTCCCTAGTTCAGAAGTCACAGCAAGATTACTGGATTTCTTATTTACACCTAGTACATATTTCATAAATTTGATATGTGATTTTTCAGATGTATCATTTGAAAACACCTTTTCTAAAATATACTTAATACATTGAAAACCACGTGTGTTACAAACACCGTGATGATTTCTAATCAGAAATCTGGATCTCAAAAGTGCTTTCATAATATCAAAATAATAACATGACTACGAAATTTACATACATTACTACCGATACCATCACTGTTTGGCAAAAATGTACAACTCATTGGGAGGAATTTTAAGCCATTTTTTTATTAATTGGGAATTTTCTCTTGGGGAAAAAGCTGTATTTCGAATGTAATTTGAGGCAAACAATATCTCTGAATTATTGTCATATAATGTATATATGATGTATAGCACAAATTCAATTCAAATCAATTCAATATTTATTTTTTTTTGTCTAAATTTTAAATGCGCATCCAAAAAGTGGCAAAATAATCAACTTATTGATGGTGGCCGCGTACTGGTAGAAGTAGAAATATATATACAAAATTAACAGTAAAGGTCTCTGCAAGGATTTGTATACTATACAAATCCTTGGTCTGTGGTAAAAATTTGCAGATTTTTAGGAATAAAATCTTGTCCTGCAAAAAAAAAAATAAACTGGCAAACAACAAGGAAAAGAAGGAGTCCATGAAGAATTATGACAAAAAACAGCAAGGGCAAACCTTTCCTCTAAGTCTTTTGTGGGTGTATTTTTAAATCCCTTACTTATCCATCTTCATTAAAGACACTAGTAATAATGATAAGTAAAATGAGGATGATAATGAAGTTATGATCTAAAGGGGTCTTCAAAATAAGTCGAACACATTCTTAATATAGATGATTAAAATATGAAAATATTTTTTTTTTGGTATTTTTTATTAGCAAACCAGTGAAATTTCATGAAACAAAACATGTTCAAAACCCTCTGGAAATGCTCCAGAACACAGGATTTAGCTTCATTTGTATCAAAATTTTCTGGGGGGGCATGCCCCCAGACCCTCCTAGATAGGGTCGTGAACTTTGATGGATAGTTGTCTCATTCGAAATCAAACCACATCTCCTTGTTTATATATTGTGTACAAGTTTCATAACATTTGATTGAGGCAAACTTAAGTTAGAGAACCAAATTTGACAGCTTTAGCTAATAACTTATTTCTTTCCTTAGATGCCAGATTCTAAATATGAGATATATCTAACATGGATTGATGCAAATTAATGACTCACATGTTGATGCATGTTTTTGTTCTAATATCGCTCAGCTTGGTATGATTAATTTTTTAATTCAGAAGATTATAAAGAATAACTGAAAATGGTTTGAACAATTAGAATTCCATAAAAGCAATAGCAGAAATACTGAACACAAACTGGATTCAAAATGAAGGATTGTCCATTAAACATAAGTGGAAATATAAATAATAAACTATTAGAAACAGTTGACTGTCGATATCTCGAAGTCAGCATGACCAGAGAAATATTTCGAGATACCTGTAGTGCGACTCATAGGAATACATGAAGTTTGACAGACCAAGGGACACAACTCTTGCTTAGCTTGGTGAGGCTAAAATAAATCCAGATGAATATGGGTAGGGATCAATATTCTGGCCTGACATCGATGTATATAAATGTAATGGTCTATTAATATAATAATAAAATTTTATGATTTTTCGTCTCATTTATTTCTTTGTACAGTTCCATTTTTTTCCTGTGGCTTTAAGCCAGAAGAGTAATTTCCAATCATTCTTAGCGTGATTTAAAGTTGACAAAATTGTTCATTCTCGTATACAAGAGATTTTTTGAAAATATAAATTTCTTTTCATTTTCTTTTATTTCAATCTTTTTCTGCAAGAGAAAAAATAAAAAGATTAAAGACGCCGATTGAGTAGTTTTTAGTTGATCACGGTCTAAATCCTTACTTTAGGCACAACCAAGCTCATTAATGTTATGGTTGTTTTTAAATCATTTTAAATAATTTTTCATAAACTATAACAATGTATCACTAATTATTTTTATGGTGATCAAGGTAATCTTAGGTATTAAACACTCGTGGAAAAAGAATGTCATAAATCAATACAGTGGTCAGTGACCGGAAATTTTACTTACACGTTTATTGTCAGATGAACTCTTCAATCCACTTAAATCCCCAAGGTCATGTTTTGACATAAGTGTATTAGTTCAAGATAAAAATGCAATTTGAATGCTTTTGTTAACTTTTGGTTCAAGTCAACCGAAATTTTGACTCATCCAATTTCAACTCATCAGGAGTCCAAATACATTTTTTTATATGGAATGAAGTTCTGGACCAAGGGAAAACTTCGACTCATCTGAAATTTCGAGTCAACCGAGTTCAAGACAACAAGAGTTAATTGTATCTGGCATATGTCAGTGTCAAAACTGTCAAATAAATGTTACTTTAAATCATTTGTCTCATTGCAATGCACTGGCGACAAGGTTATTTGCAATACTTACAATTAGAAATATTCATATACAAATCAGCTGTACAAAATACCAGTTGGTCATAATATAGACAGCCCTCAATTTAGTCTACTGAAATGGTCGCCTGGGCGACTTTAAAAGCTGATTGGCGACCAAAAATTCATAACTGGTTGCCATTTAGGCTTTTAGAATATTGAAAATCTGACGACCGTAAATTTTCGGAAAGTTTGCCCTGATTAGAGTCGGGTTTTAAAAAATCGTCTGAGCGCTTGACAGTAACACAAATTTTTACTGTATTTCAAGCGCCTTTTAGATTTAAGCTTGATCTTGTCAGTGTTTATTGCATCAAGTACTTGTAGTTCATTTGTAAGCAATTTGTTGTCGTTGACTTACTGACAGGATTTATATACATCTATCTTCGTATTTCCGCACTCAGTCACAACTTGGACTACTACGTGCCGTTAAAAAGAAAACCATTGGCATTTATAGATTGTGTTTATTGAAAGCACATGGTCGAGTCTTGTTCTTGATTTCATCAGTAAACGGATGGAAACAAGGTCGGCGACAATTTTGTAACTTGTTCTCATCGATTCAATAAGATACTGGCTACAATTAAGCAAACGATTTCAGATGTTCACTTGACCGATCGGGCAATCACCAGTGCTTCTGCACAAGTCTGATGAGATTTTTACTAGACTTGGGCTTTGGGCTACGGCTTAACATCGCAGACTGTTTTAAAACATGTACAATGTCAATGAATGTGATATCAAATAAATCATGTGGTTTTTAACAGTTGATTTACACAAACTATTTTCTACACTCGACAGCATAAAAACCCAACAAAAACTTAATACTTTTATTTCACAAGGGTTGTTTAGCTATAAAAAAAAATGTAGGCGACCTGAAATTATTTCCTGGCCACTGAAATTTTGAGTTGGCTACTAAATTTTCATGTCTGGTGGCCAATTGGCAACCTCATTTCAGAAGCTACTTTGAGGGCTGATAGACCTTATCATTTTTTCCAAAATCTGCAACATTTGCTCAGAGATTTTACAACAATGAACATTTGAACTATTGACATCATTAAATAACCACTTTTGCATTGTTGTGACAGAATATTTTTTTTATATGACATAAAATTTTACAGTGATGTCTCTGCTGAAAAATAGCAGCCAAGTGTATTGCATGATGGGGTTAGTTTTCATTTTTTACATCTACATTCATGGCCAAATACACATAGAGAAATTTAACTGTTCATATTCTTGATCAATTAGAATAATGAATTAATGAGGGTGAAACAATGATAATACAGGAATAAGGCTGAAAGGACTGATGCAGTCTTCACGCTTAACCACAGGCCAACTAGCCCAGGTTTGCAAAATTTCTGTCAGGTCTGTAAAAATCAGGTCTACAGGCCAATAGAATCCAACTAAAACTATACATGTAGTAAAATTTAGCAGGACTGTGGATTCAAAAGTTTGTCGTGAAGACTGCTGATGCAGTGATGCCTGATGGTGCTAACATTAATGTGGGCACAACTAACCCGGATTTCAATAAATTAAACAGGAACCTGTAGAGTTTATACCTGATGAAAAACTACATTGGTATCCAAGATAAGATAGTGTGACTTCTTGCATAATTTGCTTTTGTTGACCGGTTTGCTCTCCAAAGGTTTGGCATCGTTTTGGTCGCAGATTGTGCAACACTGACAACCGCATGTGATGTCATCACGGAGATAATGTTCACGAACAATCTTTATAATACTTCCTTTCTTTGTCTTCTTGATAAAAGTCTTCGTTGTTAACATTTTTTGCGATTTTTAAATAAAGATGAAAAATTCACATGCGTTTATTTTTACCGGAAATGATATTTATTCGTACCTCCAACATCGAAGAGTTGCTATCGGTAAAACAAAGGACAGAAGCTGAATACTCGGAAAAACAAAGACGACTATGTCCCTTAATAAATTGAGACATGGAGATATGAAACTAATTTGAATGCAGTTCACGAATAACTGGTTTTCAATACATAACATAACAATTTTGAAACCTTAATATATTTGTTATTTGTGAACAAAATTGGTTAATATTTAAAAAAAATTAACTGATTTATTAAACAGAGACATATATTTGAAGACTCTGGATTAAATTTACAACAAGCATATATCGACTTTTTAATAATGAAGTTGGGAATAGTTAATTAAGTGACGGTTAGTCCCAGTATTAAGTAAGTGTGTTTTAATACAAGAATGATCAAGTTATAACCTTATTCTGATTGCTTTATCCAACCCTTGATTCTCGGTAATTTTTTCACTGTATGTTCGAAAAGCACTTGTCTTTTTTTTTTGTATCTCTATACCTTAATGTGGGTGCGTCTAAACACTGCCAAGGAGTTCTTAGTGCACTAAGGACTAGAAGGAGTGCTGTTACATGTAAAAAAAAATCATATTATGGTAGAAATTGATATTTAATGCATAAATTCCAAATTTTATAGAAAAGAATCACAAATAAATGAGTAATTGAACAACGTTAAGGCACGTGCCGGTTTTTGGGAAGTTTGCTATAGCAATACTTTCCTAAGGCGTCTCGGCGTCGATCAGGGTACGGCAGCGGTGCACTTCCCCAGAACCATTACTTGTGCAGAACCGGCGTACGTTCTCAGAACCAATATAAGTCTTGCGCAGATATGTCTTTGATTGACATCTCACTCCCGTAAAATTAAGACAGATAACAACGACCCTGAAAGAAAACATTAAAGTTGTTTGTATTAACAGAGCCGGCGTAATAAAAATGTTTACGTGGTGATTACTTTACCATGTGAGGTTATATAAGCTATATATTAAAATTTTATATGAATTACAAATTAGTATTTAAGTGAAATAAGCAGCCGACAAACTATTGTAATTTTACAAATATAGATTTAAGTTAATTAGAAAAACAGGAGACATGTAAAAACATCAGAGATAGATAACCCCAACATTAAATAGGTCAATTTCAATATGATATAGCTCTCTTATTTTTATCAAAATACATAATATGTATTTATACCCCACACTAGCTGACACGGATGATACATGAAACACCCGTTCAATATCGTGTTAAAACAAATATTTATTTTTTTCAAGTTGCAACAACAATATTTAAAGTCCCGAGGAATCCCCTCAGTGACCCAACTCCACCAAAAGAAAGATTTATAAGTCAGTTCTTTAGAGACGTTACACATTTGATAATGTGTACGAAGATAAGTTTTGATGTTAAGATTTTACTAATATAAACAATCCTTTTGTCCTATCAGTGTCTGTATCTTTGTCACTGCCCCCTAGGGAACCTTAATTGGAACAAACACACATTGTTTTGTATTGTATAATGTATTGTGTAGTGTATAGTTTGTAATTTACTCAGTACAAGATTTCGAGTATTCTTCAACAGTTTGCGAATTTGCGAGCGATGCCCCCGGAAATGAAAGTAGTGATTTTTATTTCATTTTTTTTCAAATTGCCATTGGGTCACTTCCAAATATTCATTTCATGAATATGTTTCTTTTGAATTTCTTTCAGTATCTTCTCACCTTCTCTTCCGATTCCTTTCAGGGGCTTTTCTGTGTTGTCCCCTGAACTAACAGTAGAAAATATTTTTTTTAAATTTTAATGTCAATGGATACCACAGCTATAGGTGACATTGAGTTTTACCCCAATCACAATAAAAGTGTGCATTATTCAATCAATGAAAATTATTCAAACAACATTTTGTGTAGCCGAGCTAACATATAATTCATTAATATATCAAACGGTAATAAAAGAAGCGATATATATATATATAAAACCAAGGATTTGTATATACAAATCCTTGATATAACGTATAAATATAATTTTAGTTATACTGATCATATGTGTAAAACAGTTGCTTGGATTAGAATACTTTTATCTATTTGTGAGAAAAAATGTTGGTTCTGACAAGGCATACTTGTTTTATACTGTATATAACGAAAAGTTGTAGCAGGTCACTACCTAAATTCTGCATAAAAAGACAAGTATTCAAAAAAAGTATTGAAATATTTACTTAAAATAACGGTTTGTTCCCGAGGAGGAAACGACCAAAAGTCTACATAGAAATTTTGGTTCTGACAAGGTATTCTTGATTTTCAATGTTATTCTGAAAAGGTATATGAGAGAGTCTGCATAGAAAGAAAATTATTCCGAAAAGGTATTGTTATATTTACTGGAACAAACGGTCTGTTCCGAGAAGGTAACGATCTTAAGTATAAATAAAAAAAAATGGTTTTGATAAGGTATTGTTTTTAGTTTAAATAACAGTTGGTTTTGAGAAGCTTACACTTTAAACATTAGTTAATAACATTTGGTTCTGACAAGGTACTGAGGAGGTAACGATATTAAGTCGACATAGAAATTTTGGTTTTTACTGTAAATAACGGTTGTTTCTGAGGAGGCACCGACATAAAGTTTACTTAGAAAATTTGGTTCTCACAAGGTACTTATGTTTTTACTGTAAATTAAGGTTGGTTCTGAGGAGGTACCGACATAAAGTTTACTTATAAAAATTAGTTCTGACCAGGTACTGTTGTATTTACTGTAAATAAAGGTTGGTTCTGAGGAAGTACCAACATAAAGTTTACTTATAAAATTTGGATCTGACATGGTACTTATGTTTTAACTGTAAATTAAGGTTGGTTCTGAGGAGGTACCGACATTAAGTTTACTTATGAAAATTAGTTCTGACCAGGTATTGTTTTTTTTACTTTCAATAAAGGTTGGTTCTGATGAGGTACCGACATAAAGTTTATTGAGAAAATTTAGTTCTGACCAGGTATGGTTGTTTTTACTGTAAATAAAGGTTGGTTTTGAGGAGGTACCGACATAAAGCTTAGTTATAAAATTTGGTTCTGACAAGGTATTGTTGTTTCACTGTAAATAACGGTTGGTTCTGAGGAAGTACCGACATAAAGTTTACTTATAAAATTTGGTTCTGACATGATTTTAATATTTTTACTGTAAATAAAGGAGTGGTTATGAGGAGGTACCAACATAAAATTTACTTAGAAAATTTAGTTCTGACAAGGTATTGTTGTTTTTACTGTAAATTAAGGTTGGTTCTGAGGAGGTACCGACATAAAGTCTACTTAATAAGAAATTTGTTTCTGACAAGGTTTTGTTTTTTGAACTGTAAATAAAGGATGGTTCTGAGGAGGAACCGCCATAAATTTTACTTAGAAAATTTGATTCTGACAAGGTATTGGATTTTTTTTAACTGTAAATGAAGGTTGGTTCTGAGGAGGTACCGACATAAAGTTTACTTAGAAAATTTAGTTCTGACCAGATTTGGTTGTTTTTACTGAAAATAACAGTTGGTTCTGAGGAGGTACCAACATAAAGTTTACTTATACAATTAAGTTCTGACCTGGTATTGTTGTTTTACTGTAAATAGCGGTTGGTTCTGAGAAGGTTTCGACATAAAATTTACTTATAAAATTTGGTTCTGACAGGGTACTTATGTTTTTACTGTAAATTAAGGTTGGTTCTGAGAAGGTACCGACATTAAGTTACTTAGAAATTTAGTTCTGACAAGGTATTGTTTTTTTTAACTGTAAATGAAGGTTGGTTCTGAGGAGGTATGGTTGTTTTTACTTTAGTTAAAGATTGGTTCTGAGGAGGTACCAACATAAATTTTACTTAGAAATTTTAGTTCTGACCTGGTATGGTTGTTTTTACTGTAAATAACGGTTCGTTCTGAGGAAGTACCAACATAAAGTTTACTTATAAAATTTGGATCTGACATGGTACTTATGTTTTAACTGTAAATTAAGGTTGGTTCTGAGGAGGTACCGACATTAAGTTTACTTATGAAAATTAGTTCTGACCAAGTATTGATTTTTTTTTGCTGTAAATAAAGGTTGGTTCTGAGAAGGTACCGACATAATGTTTATTGAGAAAATTTAGTTCTGACCAGGTATTGTAGTTTTTACTGTAAATAAAGGTTGGTTCTGAGGAGGTACCGACATAAAGTTTACTTAGGAAATTTAGTTCTGACAAGGTATGGTTATTTTTACTATAAATAAAGATTGGTTCCGAGGAGGTACCGACATAAAGTTTATTGAGAAAATTTAGTTCTGACCAGGTATTGTAGTTTTTACTGTAAATAAAGGTTGGTTCTGAGGAGGAACCGACATAAAGTTTACTTAGGAAATTTAGTTCTGACAAGGTATGGTTATTTTTACTATAAATAAAGATTGGTTCCGAGGAGGTACCGACATAAAGTTTATTGAGAAAATTTAGTTCTGACCAGGTATGGTTATTTTTACTATAAATAAAGATTGGTTCCGACGAGGTACCGACATAAAGTTTATTGAGAAAATTTAGTTCTGACCAGGTATTGTTGTTTTTACTGTAAATAAAGATTGGTTCTGAGGAGGTACCGACATAAAGCTTCGTTATAAAATTTGGTTCTGACAAGTTATTGTTGTTTTACTGCAAATAACGGTTGGTTCTGAGGATTTACCAACATAAAGTTTACTTAGAAAATTTGGTCCTGACAAGGTACTTATGTTTTTACTGTAAATTAATGTTGGTTCTGAAGAGGTACCGACGTAAAGTTTACATATAAAAATTAGTTCTGACCAGGTATTGTTGTTTTTACTGTAAATAACGATTCGTTCTGAAGAGGTACCGACATAAAGTTTACTTAGAAAATTTGGTTCTGACAAGGTACTTATGTTTTTACAGTAAATCAAGGATGGTTCTGAAGAGGTAGCGACATAAAGTTTACTCATAAAAATTAGTTTTTACTAGGTATTGTTGTTTTTACTGTAAATAAAGGTTGGTTCTGAGGAGGTACCGACATAAAGTTTACTTAGGAAATTTAGTTCTGACAAG